GCATTGAGACAATAAAACAAACAATATTGATTATCAGTTATAGTATGTTATATTACGTATATTATATTACATATTGCATTTATTTTTATCTATCTTACTGTAAGCTGCCCAGAATCACATATGTGAAATGGTTGGCTATATAGATCAAATAAATAATTAGTGAAATTGACATCAGAATGTCATTAAGCCTTCAAGACCTGACAGAAGCTTTGTGTCAAGGGCTCATCTTAAGAGGGCCAGAATATGAAATGGCTTCCATCAATAAATTATGCTTGTGAGATAGTACTCTGTATAGACTCATGGGTATGGAGATAATGCTGTGGTATATTTAGCCAAGAAACTATTCTTAGAAGATAACTACAGCACCATTGAAAAGATGGCCTTCAAATGGGCCATAAATAAGTATAATTATGATACTGAGAGTTTATACTCATAATGGAGGACCAACCCATTGCCTAGATACAGTGGATGAAAAAAAGCAATCCTTCAATGACAATTATATGTCTTTACAAACCTACATATTTACCACACAACAGAGAGCAGGGATATAAATCATTCTTTCAGATTTGTTTATCTTGTCAGGGATAAGATATAGAAATGTATAGTGAACTGGTCTGACAGGAATTTAAAGAAAGGCTCTCATCTCTTAAAAGCAGGGAAGGATGTGGAACCTCCCAGATTGAGCAGGCATTTCTCCTTCTCTGCTGGAATCCAGAGTTTCAGTGCTTCCAGAAAGGGAGAGGGGGATAAAAGAGCCCCACCTACTCCCTAATTAGAGAGAAGGCCTCTTAAATGGACCAGAAACCCAGCATATGTGTGGGTACAGCAGAGGGGGAGTTGAACCAGGAAGACTACAGAGAGTCAGGGAAAAGTTTTCAGTTCAAAGGCAAGTAACTCAGCAGCAGTCCAGAATGATAAAAGCCCTGGCGCTGGAAAACCCGCTGAGAGACAAAGCCAAAGATTCAGGGGAAAGAGCCCAACAAGCGTCTGCTTGTGACCGAAGCAAAACCATTCTGTGCAGCAGTCCAAGCTTTACAAACCAGCTCCAGGGGGAGAAGACTGTGAATGCTGGAGGGGAGAGAAAAGCCCCATATGCAAATCAACAGCGAAAGCATGAAAGGGATTTTCAAGTGTAAATGGTTAGAGTTTGGCTCCAAGAGATGAAGATTGCCACAAGAAAATACTTTTTATAGAAAAATGTAGAGCAAAAGGACATAGAGATTATAACACAGACATGGAGTATTTGGAATAAGCTTATAGTAATGGGAAGGTGCTATATTGAGATAGATTGTAAGAAATTAAGTAGAAAGTAGGTGTAAACAGAGAACTTCTCTGAGAGAGTGTGCAAAACATTCTCATGTACTAAATATTGGACAGCAATGTTGGACGACCTTCCCTAAGAGTATGGGAAAGTGGCAATAGAGGAAATGTTTTCTCATTAGGAAGCCATGCAACTTGGTTATTTTCCTTCTCTTATTTACAAGAATGACATAGTTTTTTCAACAGTTAAAAGAATCTTTATATTCTAAAACAGCTGGTAACAATGTTAGGGACATTATAAGGAAAGCTTTAACTTTTCCAGAAACCACACTAACAACTATTTATTAAAGCAGTATGCCATAATAAGATTTTATAAGGGTCAAACCATTCCATCTGAAATTACATAATTTTTCCCTACACTTTTTAAAAAACTAAAAATTATACTTCAGAGAAATGATGGGAATATCCCCAAGGATAAATTTATCTGCAAAATATAGTCAGTATATTCACAGAACTGTAGTACACTTATGCAAGCAATGTGGGCTATATAGTTTTCATTACTGTACAAATCCAGTAGAAATTGTGATGGCTTTTTAGAAGTATTAAACATTGTGGGCTTCTTGAAAGCAATTGACTTGTTGCCAGAAATTAGATAGTCAATTAGATGGATATTTGGATTTTTAAAAAAATATTTAATCCACAGAAAGTTCTTTAAATCTCACAACTAATGTTTTGTATTAAGAGGCAGTACATCTATCAAAGACTACTGTGTGATCCTGAACTAGAGTTTTATTACCCATGGTTTTTTGTGTCTGTTATTGACATACATAGATCAGATCTTGTTATTCATGGAAAAGGATTCTGTGTATCCTCAGTTCATTTGTGTGTGTGTGGTTTCATTCGCAGATTTTTGGAGTGTTCTACATTTTACACATGCACAAAATGAGACATAGTCTTTTGCACATGTGTGAAGAACATTAGTTTGAGCTCTCATTATTTGCAAACATGTTATTTGCAGTTGTTAGCCTGGAACGAAACCCTTGTGAACAAGAGCTACCTGTATATTTACAAAAAGCATTACAAATAGTGAAAGATTTAAAAAAACAGAACTGAAATAATTACTCCATAACCATCCAACATACCAATGTCCTATTGAAGGAAAGAAACTAGGCTGAACCAAAGCCAAAGCAAATTGCTAAAAGATTATGTCATGTATTAAAGCATTTGGCCTCTTTCTATTGGCTTTCAAATTATAATAAATTTACAACAATTGAAAAAATGTTTTGTAGAGTGTTTACCCAGAAGCATGCCTTAATAAATGGAATGCTAATATAATTTGAGCTTTTAAAGAAAAGGAATAAAAGAATACCAAAGAGTCTCTTGACTATGATTACAAAATCTATTGGTATTGTTGTACAAAGACAAGTTGGCATAGTGCTATTGATGAAGACAGGACTGAGCACTACATCTTCAGGTTCCCTCTTGAAGGCCAGCTTTGACATATAGATTGTTTACATTAGAGATTCCTCAAAAAGCAGTTTTCTTCTTTAAAAAATCAGTTTGATAAACCAAGACACATGTATTTAATAGGTCTTCCCAAATTTTCTAAATTAAATATTTTAAACTGGCATTGTTCTGACATTAGAAAAAATACATTTATCTTAAATTGCATATCTTTAGAATCAAGATTCTTGTGACTGGCCCAAAGATAAGCTAGTTGATACTTACAAAGGAGATAAACCAGAAATAACAGAGTACAATTTAGATTAAGAAGTTGAAATGGCATCTTAAAAGAGATAACGGCAATTTATTTCCATATTCTTGTGAGAAATATCAAGAGTACCTAGAGAATTATCAAGAGGTAAACATGACTTGAGAGAGACTTACTCTTTCTCTAACTTATTCTAACTTATTCTTATAGGAGCAAACTTGAATTTTACTGTGGTGTTCTTTCTTCATAAGTCTCTTGTACCCTGCTTCATCTGTGAAATTTAAATATCTGCATTAAAGTTATTTAAAAATACATTTTAGATATTTCTTCTCAATTTACTTATTTAATGGATAATTTCCCAAGTACCAAATTTTAATCTATTCTAAGATAAATATTTTAATTTACCGGTACCTTTTTTAATCTCAGAAGGGCATTACAAAATCTGGAATAAAAGAAAGAGCCAAGGTGGCGCAGTGGTTAAATGCAGCACTGCAGGCTACTGCTAGATCAGCAGGTCAGCGGTTCAAATCTCACCGGCTCAGGGTTGACTCAGCCTTCCATCCTTCCGAGGTGGGTAAAATGAGGACCCAGATTGTTGGGGGCAATATGCTGACTCTCTGTAAACCGCTTAGAGAGGCCTGAAAGGCCTATGAAGCGGTATATAAGTCTACTGCTATTGCTATTGCTAATAAAAGGGTGACGGATAACTAACTTATGATCTGCAGTTACTCCAAAAATCATATTGTATTATGCAGACAGATCAACATTCTTGAACATCCCTACCTGAAATAAAATGTTTCAATGTATCTTCAGCGCATGAACATCTACAACATAGACTAGAGCCAACCACTGCTCTTCTTTGCCTCTCTCTGCATTTCCTTTCATTCTCGGTCTTAATGCACTGGGAAGGCCAACGCATGTCCATATTTTTTTAAATAATGGTAATGGAGGTTACATCACAAACTTTTTTTTGCCATAAAATAAGGCTTTACGGCTCTGAAAAAATTACCTCAATACATTAACTGACTACATCATGAGATCTAAGCCTGCATGTTTTTAATCAAATGGATGGCATAGCTAAAATAATCAGGACAAAGGAATCACATATGCCTTTTCATATAAAACATTAATGTGGCTATCCAAAATTCTGTTGTATTGTAAAAATAATGTAAGGTGAAGTTCTTACCATTCATATGTAAGGGATCGAACTTAGTTGTGCTGCATTTTTGGAAAGGTATTTCTGAAAAATTCTTTCCCTATTTGATAATCACAGTATCCTTACCAGAGACTTTAAAATGAATGTTTATTTTTTTCTGTTACTAAACAAATTTTTCTATCCTGTTTTTTCTACTGCGTTTGAATCATCTCTAATTCATTCATTTAAATATTTTCAGGCACCCTTCTTAAATAAAAATTAAAAAAAATCTTCAAGTAGTTTTCTGGCAGCAGTATGGAAACAATTTCTAACTGCCTTCTTGGATTGTTTCTCAGCTTCTACAGCCTTGGATTAGCTGGTGGTTGCCCTCCAAGTACTAACTACATCTGATCCTGCTTAGCTTTAGGGATCAGTCAAGGTCAACTAGGAATTGCCAGTAACTAGTCACTTAAACAGTATCACTGTTAGGATTAAGCTGTTAGATTGCTTTGGATAGGCAGCACATTTCAAAATGCCATACAAGAAAATACTATATTTTGTTTCATAAGGTGTGTACTTGTACAACAGACTTCAATGGACCATCCAGGGTTTGCACTGGCTTTGTGCCATCCATTATTCAGGTTCAAATTTAACCACATCTTGTGCTGAGACGTCTAGAGTTAGCTAGAAGTTTTGGCTCAGATACAGGCAGTGATGAAAAACACATGAGCAATAACAAGTTTTCTTAGTGTTATTCTTCAGTGCTCAGATAGACTAATCCACAGAAGGAGTTTATTCAAGTATTACCCAGGGTGCCAGGAAGAAAAAGACCTTTGGGGGGATTTTTAATCCCTTTAAAATATTTACTGTTACTTTTATAAACTCAATTTTTTATAAATTATCAAGGTGGAAATAATTTTCATAGCTGCAGCATTTTTAAGGAACTTCACAAATTTGCAAGGTAGGTCTTTTTAAAAAAAACTTTTTATTAATGCATCAGTGTTCTAATGAAGCAATATTATTTTGTCAATATTAATAATGTATTTAAATACTGTTTGATGTTTTACAGCATGTATTAGAAAACAGTACTATGAACAGAAAAATATATCATTTACTTGTGTGTTTATTCAAAGAGAACTTTCTGTCATGCAAGTAAATCACAGACTCAGTATTGTATTTAGCCATATTTTCAGCAATTCATAATCTCCCCATCCTTTAGTTTCCTAAGGGATGAAAGAGAATGGAGGTCTGTATAGAATGCCTCCCCTATACTGTCAGCTGAGCCCTCTACTATATAAAAAACAGAAAAATAGAAGTGGAATGAACTTCCTATAATTAGCATTTAGAAAATAGCCATTAGGTGAAGAAATAATATGCATTAGAAATCATTGTGTGAATTCATTATTCTATTTGGACTATTTGATTGGATCAAACAGAATAGTTGTGCATCTGATGAAAACCATTTAGGCTCTAATTCTACCAAGGTAACACTTACCTAGGAGTGCCATTGAACTCAAATGGGCTTATTTCTAAATAAACTAGCAGAAATTCCTCATATTTCATGTATATTCAATGAAATTTGATTTTATAAAATTCTATTTTCAGATTAATCAGCACATATAAATATGTGGCCTCACAAATATTCATGCTTTTAAAGTAAGGGTATATGAGCACTGGCAAAACTAGGCAGGAAAGCTTTCTGCCTTAAGTTCCATGCAGATGAAGTCTTTAGCATTTCAAACTAAGCAGTCCAACTTTCTGATTGAACGTAATTAATAAAGTTAAGTAACATTATTTCTGGCCATATTGGCAGCCTGAATCAAAGCATTTTCTATTGACTTGCTCTGCAAAAACAAACTATTCAGAAATTCCAGACAGCATCTTAATTTAAATGGAATACCTTTCTTATTATTGAGATTATTATTTAAATAAGAAGGGCTTAGATTCATATTATTCAAAATCACCAATGCTTTCTTCAAGACAGGATTTTATTTCTTATAATCTTGGCAGCCACTAATATTCAAAGGATCTGCTGGATATAAAGGATTACCATACAAGGCACAAGGTAGAACACACATATTTTATAATATTGAATGTGCATTTTCAGACAATTTAATAATAATCATTTTTTTTAAAGTTAAGCAATCTGCTGCCTTACAGTTATCTGGAAGTAGAATGGCCACGGTCAAGCACAAGCCCTTAGACTAATTTACTCACGAGGAACCCATGCTTTGTCCTATACCCCTGCTAAACATGCAGTCATTGATAAACCTGAGATGGTATTAAAGTTAAATATTAAATGGATCTAATGCAAATGAAAATATGTTAATATAGCAGTGATTTGGAAGAGAAGGAGATGGAAATGTCACTATGGTCAGAGAGGGTGCCAAAATAACAGAAACAGTTGTTCAAAGTGAACTTGGGTCAGGCAACATACACCGCAGCAGATGTGTCAGCCTTAAAACTGCCATAACGGTTTGTGCTGTGGTTATGACAATGATATGACAGTCTCCCTTAACCAGTTAATTCTAAATAATGCAGTGTAGCGATGTTACACTGCATCCTTAGGGTTTGCAGGGCAAAGACAGTTCATGAAAAAGTACTGGGAGTTTTAGTAGCTCATAGAATTCTTTCCCTCTTTGCTTTCATTTTACTGGCTCAGAAAAATCCAGGACTTCATTAGATAATTCTGAACAATAATGCAATGCATTGGGGGGTGGGGTGGGTCAGGAGACAAACCGTGTTTTAAAATGCTATCAATATGTTAAGATATACAACTAGAATACTTGAAAGTTTTTGAGAATTTTAGACACAATAGGCATCTAGAGTCTCACAAAATATAGTTTTTCTCTAAAAACTCATATGTGCACACTCATGCCTGCTTTAATTAAGTGGCCAAGCCAAATTATAGAGAACACAGAGTTACATTGTTTATCAAGTTATAGAAAAAATAATCTAATTAATTTTGATTCCAAAACTCAAACCACTATTCTACTATTATGAAATTTAAACAATTATATCTTAATTATTTCACACCTTAATTTAAAGTTCATATTCATATTACTGAGAAATCATATATACTGGACCATTATGCATTTATTTTATCATCATCCCTTATAACTTGGATGTTCTCTGTTCTCTGTGACTTTATTTAACTGTAAAATGGAAACTCTAGTTTTTTACAAAATATCCAGATTACATGAATCTTAGATCCCTGAAGGAACTAGCTGATAGTCTAAGTAGAACTTAAATCTATTAGCTTTTGATAAGTTCTGGGGAATGGCAAAATGCCAGAATTCAAAAATATTCCTCTTTTGGAAAAGTGGGGGTGGGAGTTAGAAAAACTAAAAAGAAATCAATCTAATACTGATACTTGGAAAAATTCTATACTCTTTTTATGAAGAGCATGGATTGAAAAATAAAACACACCCACAAACCCACATATGCTTTCTAACAGCTCATTTCTGGATTCTTAACTAAATATGGGAATGTTGCAGAAGCCCTTTCTTTTCTTTACAAACTCTGCCAGAAACAAGAAAGGAAACTGTAGCCCTTTCCCCCACAGATTTAACTCCTTTCAATTAAACTACAGTACATTGATATGACAAATAAATAACTAATAGCATAGAACTATATTCTGCCATCGGTACCATGTACATTAAACTACGTAAGTAGATGGTGTTCTGGGAGAATTGCTGGAGGGAATGATTATAGTTAACAACTGGGACCCCATTCAATTATCTTTCAACTATGTGCTTCTTTATAAACAGAACAGACTGGACTCTGAGTGGGATAGGAACTTTTCCAGCTTAGTAGCCTTATTTTCCTTCCAAGCTTCTACAATATTTCATTTCTAAAGGCTAAACTGATCATTCTGGCAATACAGACTGAATACTGTACTCTGCAACAATCAAATCCTTTATTTCAAAAGTTAAGTTTCTAAGAGAATTGTAAGGTCTCCATATATATAATATAATTCCATATAAGTAAAACATTTTAGCCACCTTAGTTCTCAGGTAAAATCTCAACAGATGAATTAACATTTATATTCTATATATTTATATGTGGTACTTCTGTTTAATATTTCTGAAATTACAAGATCAATAATGGTATTTTTTTGTTTGGCACTCATCATGTTTTGTTTTAGGGATGTGTATTCTACAAATATGAAGGAATATATACTCCTGCTCCTTGTGGCCTTAGGTTCTGCTAAGCCTTTCCAAAAGCCTTCATACTTCACCTTTAAGAATGTAATGCTCATGGATATGGAAGATCTGGATGATGACGACGACGACGACAATGATGATGTTGATGATGATGATAAAGATGACAATTCCCTTTTTCCTACCAGAGCACCCCTGATACCAGTTGACATATTTCCAGTATGTCCCTTTGGATGTCAATGCTATTTAAGAGTTGTCCACTGTTCTGATTTAGGTAAGGATAATTATCATTGAAGCTACATCTATGCAGTACATTGGTGATGTAGACATTAGTAAGTTTTCTTCAGCTTCCTGAGAAGAAACTCCCGAGATGCACTAATACTATTTCAATACCCACCTTCAGTTTTAAGGATTTCCCCATCAATTGGTCTTGATTATGAGTAATAATTGGCCTATTGCCTTTACGTGACCAAAATGAACAACTTCCCCTTTTGCTACAGTACAATCTGGAGTTCACAAAAATATCAATTGTGTAACACTCTAGAAAGCTAGTTTGGATGATTTGACTGACTAGTTTCTTTGCCTCTGATGGAGTGCATTATCTGTGGGATAGCATATTGCTGATTTACAGTTGTTAGTTCAAGATATGGATTGGAATGAAAAAGAAACCTGACTGTCAAGTTTAAATGGGGCAAATTCATCATGGAACTTTAGTAACTTTACTGTATTAATTAAAGTCTGCTTGGGTATTGACAGGAGAGTATAGCAGAAAGTGAATAGGGAAAAAGGCCCCACATAGTTGGGCAAAATTAAAAAAGCAAGAATTACACAGAATTCAGTTAGGTATTTTTAATGTTTAAATACAGACTGTGGGAAAATATGAGAGAAATTTTTCACTCATTGACAGTGCGTTAAGAAAAGTGAGATGTCTTGGAATTACTCTTCCCAGGATTGTTCTCCTCTGGCTTAAGTTGCCACTTATAAGATAAATTGATGTTCGTCTTAACTTCTATCTCTTATGTCTGGTCTTCCATTCCTTTTTCAGCCTGGCCAAAAATTTTCATAGCACCAATATGCCTAAGGTCTATGTTTATAATATGGGAAATCTTTGCATGGAAGTTCTCCTTTTCTGATGAAGCATCAGTTAACTGGGATAGTTGGGAATGTATTATAAGCAGATGATCCAAATATTAATGTGAAATGATTCAATCCCAACCTTTGAGACCTCAGAGGCTAGAACGCTCAGGCCATAAGACAAGCACACTTTACATTTTAGTTACTTCTGTTACTCTACAAATCCAGATCGAGTCTGAGTACCGCTTGCAAGTCTTAATAACTTCTGGTCATACAAATAATTTAATGTAACTATCCACTATATGAATATAATGCTGCTTATCAATAAGGTCATTCATTCTACAACTCTCCTACAAAAGCTGAAACTATTTATGACCAGCATTTACACATAGGGCCAATCAAACAGTGCCATGACTCATATACAACCATGAGGAATCTGTGAAACTTAACCTAGCTTCCTGTTGTGTTTCCCAAGAAATTAGGGTTGGGCAGATTGCAAGCTCACAAGCCACATATTCACTGAAACTGAGGAACCATAACCCCTGATTCTCTATCATGAAAATTTCATAATGTATAATGCTACCAGTTTCTTGCTCTCATCATCAAGAACAGCAAGAACTCTTCCTGCATTGCCTGCCAAATATGCTGATTCTATTGATGTTGTTTACTCTCTCCCACACCCCAATTATGTGATTACACTATGAATTTCTATAACACATCACTATCCCAGCATCCTGCTGCTAAAGATAGTTGCTTGATGAGTATTTCCAGAAACACTTTACCTGCTTTCTTCCTCCTCATCAGTGCTCCTCTATTTGTTAAGGAAAGCCAGTGGTCCATGTTTACTGGTTCCTAAAGTCTGTAGTGTATTAGGGATTGCCAACTCTTCCCCTAATTTCTGATGATCTAGTGCATTTGCAGAAGCTTGCATTGTTACTAAGTTAAACCTCAAATGCAATCTGACCAGATCAACATATTATAGAGAGGAACAGTAATTTTTCATAAAGTTTACATTATACTGACCTGTATTAATCTAGCCCAAGATTACATTAGCTCTTTTGCACCTTTGCTTCTAGCCATACTGAAAATATAGTTGTTTTAAGTTCAAAAATGCTAAAAAAATTGGATGCAATGGTGTTAAAGAATTAAAGTAATTCTTTTTAAAGGAAACTTGATGGTGGGTAATACCCAGTCAGCAGGTTATTTCAAGTGGGCAATTAGCCTTGAATCACTGCACAGCCACAAAAGCTCCAAGACTAACACTCTTTCCCACCTTAGGCTCCATGGAAACTTATCTGTCTATTCCCAAGTCAAGCAGTCTGGGTAGATTCGTGTACTATAGGTAGAAGCACAATAAGCAAGTCAACTTGAACTCTGTTGATCTATTGCGTGGGCTTGACAGTTATTTAAATGGTTAGGATGAATCAACTTTGCATCATCCTAAACAAATGGATTATCTTGATCTTTTTCAGTCTTCAGTCCAATCAGGGTTTAGGCCTAGTTTGGGGGCATAGGTACTATTGGTCAATCTTCTAGATTACCTGTGTTGTGACTTGGATTGGGGAGGTATGCCCATTCTGTTTTTATTAGATCTCAACAGCTTTTGATACCATCAACCATGGTTCACTTTTGGATTGTTTTAATCATGATTCTACTCCTTTCTTAGTTGGTGGGAAAAGAGAGATCGGCCCAGTGGCCGCTGATTTATGGAACACCACAGGTGTTTGTCTTGTATCCATTGCTTTTTAACTTCTATATGAAGTTATTAGCGAAGTTGTGTATCGTGAAAAAAAAAGACATTATTCAACAGTTTATGGATGGGTATCTTCAATATCCTGATGATATTTAATTGTATTTTGCCATCTGACTTGTGGGAGAGTTATTATTAGCCTTAACCGGTATCTAGAGGCTGTCAAGTTCGGGATGAGAAAGAACAAATTGAAATTGAACCCTACCAATTTGGAGTTACGGTTGATTCATCAATGCCTTTTTGTCACAAGCACTACCTACCAGGAAGTAGGTTCACAACGTGGGGCTGCTTCTGAACTCCAGAGTGGTCTATGCCCAGCTTCAGCAGGCATGCCAGTGGTGAAGCAGGAATAGGAGGACCAACTACTATAACTCATGCTCGTACATAGTTAGACAACACATAGTTAGACAACTTTAATGTACTCTGCTTGGGACTGCAGTTAAAGAGTATTCAGAAATTACAATTAGTCCAAAATGAAGCAGCTGTCTCCTTTTGCAATTCTAGCACTGGGAACATATTATGGCACTTTTTGGATCCTGCATTGTTTGCCATTTGGGTCCTATTTAAGGTGCTGGAGTTGACTCATAAAGCCCTATACAGCTTAGTCTCTAAGTACTTTCCAGACTGCCTACTCCTGTCAGTATCACTCTGACCAATTGGAGCTACTAGAAAAAAACAAATGCAAATTGTACACTTTCAAGAGGCTTGGGTAGTGCTCCTTCTTTGTAGAGAGCCAACACAGTGGAACAGCCTGACCATGGCAAAAAGAATAGTTCTCTTCTTGTTAGCTGTTGAAGATCAAATTGTTTCAGACAACTTTCCCCTGATGTGAATGTTGCCATCTTCATTTCATTTCATTTTCTTTTTTATTTTCTTTTCTTTTATTTATTTATTTATTTTATGTATACATTCTATAAAAGGCACCAAGAGTCTCCTTTGATTGCAATGCACAGAAATATGTTTACTAAATAAATATTCATAATTTTTTTTCTTATAAATAGGCTTGACTTCTGTACCAAGGAATATTCCATTAGATACTCGTATGATAGATCTTCAAAACAACAAAATAAAAGAGATCAAGGAAAATGATTTTAAAGGACTTTCATCACTATATGTAAGCTTATTTTCTGAACTTCTTCTCAGGACACTATCATACTTCATTTTACCTACCACCTACACACACACACACACACACACACACACTGAATAACAGCATAAGATTAATGTAAATTGATGTTCAAAGAGATAAATAAAGATAATTGTTTGGAAAATCAGTAATTTGATCTATACTAACCACATTTTCAAAACTGATCAATTTGTGATCATTTTATTAATCTATAGTAAAAGCAAAAGATAAAATCTTATGTGTAATATTAGAATTAAATCTAATTTTCTTTTGGCAGTCTTTAGTGACTCCATTTCCATGTTACTTCTGCTTTATTCAAATCATACATAAACAATTTCAAGTTGGAGTTTTATGGCTTGCAAAAGTTTGAATACTTAAAAAACCCAATATATTTCCATTTAAAGAATATCATATTGTCTTTTTAAGTGAGAACTTTAAAATAAAATCAATGCCTAACGTTAAGCTCATATTTTGATTAGGCCCTTGCCTTGAACAACAACAAAATAACAAAGATCCATCCTGAAGCGTTTCAGTCAACAAAGAAGCTGCGGCGCCTCTACTTGTCCCATAATCATTTAACTCAGATCCCAGAAAATCTGCCAAGAAGTTTAGCTGAGATAAGAATTCATGACAACAAAGTTAAAAAGATTCATAAAGACATATTTAAGGGAATGAAATCTTTACATGTTTTAGGTAAGTGTATTATTTTTATAAATCTGCTGCACAATAGTGGGGGGTGGGGGGCTACTCTGTAACCCCCCAGAATCACAGAGATGAGCAGTGAACAAATTTAATAAATAAACCATTAGTAGAGAAATTTAGATTGAACAAACTAAAATGGAAAAAGGATAAGAGAAGTAATATTTCTTAGTAGATAGCAAGAGAACCTGTCTGCATTCAATATATAAATATTTGATGAAGGATTTACAAGTTATTCATATCATTCAGACCATCAACATAATAAAAACTATTGGCTTCATTATAATTTTCTCAGTTACACACTAAAAGCTTGTTTGGGTGTCTGTATATATGTATGTGCATTTTTGTACGTATATATGTTTGTGTGTGTATGTATACACACACACACACACACACATACATATGTATATGTTGCATTTTTGCTGATAAATAAATGGAGACTATAAGGTATATTTTTGGAAATTTATTCTTGTACATATTGTCAAAATATTTCCAGGTTCAAATTACCATACAAAGGTTTGCTTGCAATCTTCATGACCTTTTCTGTAGAAAGCCAAAATCTCTTTACTAGGAGAGAAAAGTTATGGAATTCTGATACATGAGTTGTGTAAAATAATCATTCAAAGCCAAGGTAGACTAATCATATAGCATAAATGTGGACACAACCCAAAAGTTATCTAACATTACCATGGCAAATCTTGCCTCCTTATTTCAAAATTCTTAAAAACCTATTTTTTGAAATAATGTTTTATTTCGTAAGGATTGTATAGATTTAATAATTTTATGGAAGTTGAGGTTTGTAATTTTTATTTAAAGATGGATAGGAGTATTGAGCTTCTTCTATCATCAAAACAATGTGACCTTGGAACAAAAGAAGCCAAACAAATCAATCTGCTTCAAACATAATATAAAGCTATCGGTTTGGAGGCTTAATGTGATATACGTAATTTATAGTCTGCTTGCCATATTTTCTATTTTTTGAGATCTCATTAAGCCAAAAACAAACAAAACACTCATATTAAAAAAAAATCTCCTTTAAAATAATTAATGCTACCTTCTTGTTCAAACTTCACAGATAGAACACAGATTCCTATTACTTTGTGCTGCATAGTTTAAACAAAAATAGCTGCCTCATGGAATTGAGAGAAAGCAGATAATCATTTGTTTATTAAAAAGGAATATGTGGATAGCTCTTGTTTGGTAACCAGCTTGATAATCCAATTCATTGTGTGGCTCTGTCTGTAGCAAATGTTTATTTTTGAAAGGATGAAGTGCACCAACATTTCACTCCTTTTAAAAGTTTTGATATATATGGTTTTCATTTATCATGTGTAAAGGTAAAGGTTCCCCTCGCACATACCATATTTTTTGGAGTATAAGATACACCAAGGTTTTGAAGAGGCAATTTTTTTAAAAAAAGTAGATAGGTAGAGGGATAGAGAGGGAGAGAAAGAGATAGAAATACAGTAGGTAGGTTTGAAGAGAGAGAGAGTAGTTAGGTAGGTAGGTAGATAAAGGGAGAGATAGAGAGAGAGGGGGGGGAGAGAGAGTCAGTAGGTAGGTAGAGGGATAGAGAGAGAGAAATAGAAAGAGGTAGAGAGATACAGTAGATAGGTAGGGAGAGAGAGAGAGAGACAGAGTAGATAGGTTGGTAGGTAGAGGGATAGAGAGAAATAGACATAGAGAGAAATACAGTAAATAGGGAGAGAGAGAGTAGATAGGGGGATAGAGAGAGAGAAATAGAGATAGAGAGAAATACAGTAGATAGGTAGGTGTTTCTGCTGGCACAGCACTTGATCTATGTAATTCTCATCAACCAGTTAAAGAACTTTCCAAAAAGTGAAATTTGTGAAAATGGCCATTTTTCGTCAAAAAAAATTGCATTCATAGCCTTATGGAAGCTTATAGAGTGCTGCTGAGGGTTGGGGGGGGGGCAAAAAATAGCCCATTTTTGCTCATTTCTGCCCTTCCCAGCCCCAGAAGCTCTCTGAAAGCCTGCTACAAGCTATGCACAGCGATTTTGGTGAAGGAGGCGGGGCTTCGGGAGGCTTCGGTGTATAAGACACACCCAGATTTTCAGCCTCTTTTTTGAGGAAAAAAGGTACGTCTTATACTCCAAAAAATACGGTATGTGCTAGTTGTTCCCGACTCTAGGGGTAGTGCTCATCTCCGTTTCAAAGCCGAAGAGTTAGAGCTGCCTGAAGATGCGTCTGTGATTATGTGGCCAGCATGACTAAACACCAAAGGCAAACGGAGCGCTGTTACCTTCTCACCAAAGGTGGTCCCTATTTTTCTACTTGCATTTTTACATGCTTTTGAACTGCTACATTGGCAGAAGCTGGGGCAAGTAACAGGAGCTCACTCTGTTACATGGCACTAGGGATTTGAACCGTCAAACTGCTGACCTTTCTGATCAACAAGCTAAGCATCTTAGCCACTGAACCAATGTGTCATGTGTATATTCCTCCAAAAATGAATCTGTTCATGAATTTATGCCATATTTTATAAATTAGAGGTGTTAGAAGGTTTCCTACACCTTTGTACAAAGCCACTTCCTTTATTCATATACAAATTAATAGATTATAAAGAATAAATCACTGTACTCTTTCACTGGAACTATAAAAAACCAGATTGGGGTGGCTTTTTGAAATTTGAAAATCACCTGTACTTCCAACTAACAGAATGTGCTCTCTTTTGACAGAAATGAGTGCAAATCCTCTTGACAACGATGGAATAGAACCTGGGGCTTTTGAAGGTTTGACACTCTACCATATAAGGATAGCAGAAGCAAAATTAACATCTGTACCAAACGGTATGATGTATTTTGGTTTTTTTAATAAATATACTTATTTATTAAATAAGTATAAGTTAAATGTACTTAACTTCTTTTATAAACTATATTTCAAATTTGGTATTAATATGTTATTTCAGTTAAAATAATTATAACTGACTTATGTAATGACATATTATAAGAACTCAATGATTTCTGAAAATAGGATCCAGAAGCTTGGGAGCACATCAATGCCATTCTTGGAAAGAAAAAAAATACGTATACAACTAAGCAAACAGTGAAAAGAACAAATTACCCAATCCAGGTTTAAAGAATCAATGTTACAATGAATCATTGCCCGATGGTTGAGGATCTAACTATGCAATAGTTGCATTCAAGGCAAATAAACAAGCTGTACAATTTATTTGTCTGATAGACATCAAAACAAGCATATTGTTTTATGTTAGAATCCAATCCAGAAATCATGCTTATTAGAGCTGGAGGTAAATTTTAGGCTAAGCAGTTAGTCAAATACAAGTTATTTATTAAACTGACCATCTTAAACTTGCAGAGTATTGATATGTGCCACAAGGAGAAACATAGTCCATACCTCTTTGGAATTTGTCATTCCTATTCAAGAAGTAGCACTCTCCTTTTGAGATGTACACCAATAAAATACACTTGATAGAAAAGCCGGAGCATCGACATCTATGATGGTCAAACATAAAAGATTTCATAGGAGAACCAATTAAATGAAGTATGGTTTCCAATCAACATAACCATTAAATTGGAAAATTACTATGAAGTTACCCTAACTATTTTCCGATCTTCCAGGAACATCAAAGACTGAAACATGTGGCCTTCTGTCAAATAGTTAAAAAAATAACTTAAAAAGTTCCAAGAGTTCAGAAAAACCTATTTCCCATTTCAGCAAATATTTTTGTTCTTAATTAAATTATCAATTGTAAAAGCATGCCATGTTTTTATAACAACTCAAGAAAAGAAAAACGCTAGTGGATGAACTGTAATATCTTTGCATCCAATCCTGGGATGATCTTAAATGTTAAAATATAAGCAAATAATCTACACATTTATTCAAATGTAAATTTTCACCATATATTGTGTGACTGTGCTATGAAATACTGTATTTTTCGGAGTATAAGACGCAGAGTGTGAAAATCTGGGTGCATCTTATACACTGAATACAGCATTTTTGGGCTTCTGAAACCCCACACCCTTTGCAAAAATGGACGTTCTGAGGGTTTGGGAGGCCTGCAAAGTGCTCCTGGAGCACTTTGGGGAGGGCAAAAACAAGCCAAAAATGGGCTGGTTTTTGCTCCCCACAGCCCCCAGGAGCACTCTGTAGGCCTCTCAAACTCTCTGCATGCCCTGTTTTCACAAAAAACATGGCACGCAGTGGGTTTGGGAGGCCTGCAGAGTGCAAAAACTTTTTTTTTTAAATTTACCTCTTCGAAATCTTGGTGTGTCTTATACACCGGTGTGTCTTACAGTCCGAAAAATACAGTACTCAACATTTCAACTACTGGTTCTCTGGAACCTGTCAGAACTGGCTGAATACCACCTCTGGGCATAATACCAGAAAAATATGATAAAGGTATGTTGAGAATTGCAGGGAAAGATATTGGAATAACATTTGACATTACCTAATCTTCTAATTTCAAGATGAGCTGAAAATTCTGGAAGTTGAAGTTTATGTATCTGCAAGTTCTTAAGGACAAGAAATTGGCATATTCAAAGTTATTTTTCAGCCATAGATGCACAAGTCTGTTCAAGAATCATTTGCAAATGAATCTCAAAGGCCAACATGTATGAATATTAGTGACTAGTTTATGAATCCAATAAACAGAAATGTACATTCATACATAAATTAGAAAAACAAAGGTAGAATTGGAAACCAACAAGAAGAAACTGTTTTTTGGGCATTTCATAATAATGCTGCCAAGATGAAATCATTGGAGAGCTAATATTTTCCTAGACCATAATGGAAACCAAAGGCATGCTTTAGATCATAGTGCAACAACATAGAAAACAGATACATGAATATAACAAGCAGTATCATTTTAAAAGTTTGCTTAATGTCTCCATCTCTTTAATTTTATGTGGTGGGCATTTGTTAGTTTTAAGATGCCACAAAATTTTGTTGTGTATATTGGCTAACAGTTCTAAAATAACAAAAGTGCCTTATATTTAATTTGAAAAACTATTTCTCAGATCAACATGGGGCTTGCACAAGAATGCTGTTACACTTACCATTTTCCATATGCTAATGCAGATTTGGGTCTGTTTTGCACGACCTACGCATTTTAGCACTCATAAAAATTGTTACTACAATTTTCTTTGAAATAGTCATAATAAATGGCAATACTTTTCTCAAATTTAAATAGGGAAGAAAAGGAGATGTTGCCACCAACTACTAAACATTGCAATTTACAGATCTATTTCCCAGATTTTAGGAAGTACCACCAATTGAAACCTGAACATGCAAGCTTTATCATGAAAATAAAGTAGTAGTCTTTCTGTGAGTTCAATATAATAGTAGACTGTTAACAGAGGGTTTTGAAATTTAATTCTGCTGTTAGTGTTATCTGTTAACTATGCTCTTTTCTATGTAGTACATAGATGTAGGCCAAGTTGGTCAGGTAAACAGTGTTGTAGAAATTTATAAATTGTGTGCCTACTTTGCAAAGGGAGTGAGCATTATTATATTTGAAATATATTTATCAGTATTCCCAGAGGGGGAAATTTTATTGTTTTGTTCACATTTTTTTATGTTTATATAGTCTTATCTAGTTTTCTTTTCCTCTTGTATTTCTTTTCCTTTCTCCCCTTTTTTGGAGTTTGTGTTTTAAAGCTTTGAATAAAAATTAAAAAAAAATGGGGGGGGGGAGAAAATAAAGAAATGTCAATAATTTATTTTGGCATAAGATGATATTCTAAGTTGACATGCAGTGGGACATCTGTGCATATAGGATGTCATCACTTTCCTTCTTGTGAATGAAACAACCTGGAGAATATGATCCTGCTTCGATTCAGCAATCTATGCCATTTTAATTCCTGAAATGTGTATTTGAACAAGAGAAGCCTCATTGTTCATCGTCACTATGTATTCCTGTAACAATTATAGCTGCCATAAAATCGTTGCAACATTTGATCTCCACGTATCTAATAATATATTAATGCTTAATTTTTAATGTTTAACTTATTCAAGATACATATTCTCCTTTTTAACAGCATTGCCATCCAGTCTCCTGGAACTTCATCTAGATGACAACAAGATCTCTGCAATTGAACTTGAAGATTTCATTCGATATAAAAATCTTCAGAGGTAGAACTTAAGCTTTGAATGAGTTGCCACTAGTATGCTGATAACATTTAGTGCTACTGATTCTGTCTGTAGACGTGGTAAAGAGAAAGCAGTCAATTTATCTGACTGTTTCTTAGCCTCAGTAATATTATTCAAGGGAACTAACTGAAATGAAATCCTGATAGACAGAGGTGCTTTTGCTGTATGGAAAACCAGAGCCTGTGCCCAAAGGACAGCTTATTCTAGGATGGAGTTGCACCAGGGGTGGGTCCTGGCTGCAGCTACTACTAGTTCGCTCAGGGACGCGCCGTGCACGCTTGAGGCGTGCTCTGCGCACATGCGCAGTGCAACAAAATTGCTCTATACATGCGTATAAGGCAGAAACAAGATGGCAGCGAATCATTTTGGGGTGCATGGCAGGCCTGGGTCGCTGCTGGTTCCAGCGACCCAGGCCGCCAAGTTACTACCGGTTCGGCCAAACCGGTCTGAACCAGTAGGAACCCACCTCTGTGTTGCACCACCTATTAACGGGCACTTGCCCAACTATTCCTAATACGAACTGCGACTCTTCTTATGTTCTGGTTTGATCATGATAAACAATTGCAATATTCAATATGACCTAACCTTGAAGAGTTTTCTGAAATTTCAACTGGTACAAATGTATGGCACCTAAAAATGGTAGCTAACCAGTCCGTAAAATTGGAATCCGGAATATTATTTCCATGTGGAAAGATTTGCATTTGTTGCCATTTGTTTTGAAACACAGCCCAGTGTTCGTTTATTTTTTTAGGTTTTTTAATTTTTAAGAAAATGTTGGATATACATTTGTCTGAAGTGATGTAGGGTTTCCTGCCTAAGCAGGAGGTTAGACTAGAAGACCTCCAAGGTCCCTTCCAACTCTGTTATTCTATATTCTATTTGATCATAACTGATTTAGGACTTACCTATATTAACATTACCATGTTTAACATTACCATGTTTAACCATATCAGCAAGAAGACAGTTTTAGCTTCCCAATGGGGATATAAGAGAAAGCTTTTTCCTGCTTTGCTCCATACCAGGGGAATATATTTAGCCTCCAGGAAAGAATTTAAGAGTGCCTTATATAGAAAAACAAGGAAACTAAATGATAAAAATTAAAAATTGTTGATACTATAATAATTCAAAATTTGATGCAATATTTTGTAACAATAATTCCTTAACATTATATTAACTTATTAAGAACACTTCCAATAACTTTTATTCCTTTGAGGTCTCCTGTTTTGCTTTGATTCATATAAATACATTTCTACATTATACTATATTATTGTAGTCAATTTCTTTTTTTCTTTGAACCTAAGAGGGGTCAGGAAGATCTTTTTTTCCTGAAGCAGGTTAGATCTTGTGACCTCTGTTTCTAAATAGATATACTGAGGAATTTTGGCTATGCCTATAAATAATAGATGGAGAGAATGAAGTAAAAAAACAGAATGCCCTTCAAGACTTCAAGCACCTGGAAAAAAATATGGCTCCATTATGGATATATTAAGTTGAATTAAATTGTGTTAAAAGAGGTAAGATAACTTTAAAGGAATGTAACAGATACTAGAAGAATGTTAAAGAAGAAATGCAAGTTATATTTAACGATATTCTGACAGCCCAATAGAATATTGAAAAGCAGTTCTTGAGAAAATAGTTTTGACAATGAAGTCCTGAAATACACTGTTTTAAGTAGTTTATACAGTTTTCAAGTTTTATTATAAAATATATTGTCTGAGCTATTTCAAATTTTAATTTACCACTAGGTTGGGGTTGGGAAACAACAAAATCAAAGATGTGGAAAATGGAAGTTTTGCTAATATACCAAATGTTAGAGAAATCCATCTAGAAAAGAATAAACTGAAAAAAGTACCAGCTGGTCTTTCAGAACTAAAATATCTACAGGTAATATTTAATAAGCTTTTTTTCTTGCTCTTACAGAGACAGTTGTCAAGTTTGTAACAGTAACTATGGCTAGCACAAGGTAGCACAATTGAAGCAGAATTGTTTCAATTCTGTACTTAAATACTTCTAAATTTTGTATTTGTATTGTATTGATNCCCTTTGCAAAAATGGACGTTCTGAGGGTTTGGGAGGCCTGCAAAGTGCTCCTGGAGCACTTTGGGGAGGGCAAAAACAAGCCAAAAATGGGCTGGTTTTTGCTCCCCACAGCCCCCAGGAGCACTCTGTAGGCCTCTCAAACTCTCTGCATGCCCTGTTTTCACAAAAAACATGGCACGCAGTGGGTTTGGGAGGCCTGCAGAGTGCAAAAACTTTTTTTTTTAAATTTACCTCTTCGAAATCTTGGTGTGTCTTATACACCGGTGTGTCTTACAGTCCGAAAAATACAGTACTCAACATTTCAACTACTGGTTCTCTGGAACCTGTCAGAACTGGCTGAATACCACCTCTGGGCATAATACCAGAAAAATATGATAAAGGTATGTTGAGAATTGCAGGGAAAGATATTGGAATAACATTTGACATTACCTAATCTTCTAATTTCAAGATGAGCTGAAAATTCTGGAAGTTGAAGTTTATGTATCTGCAAGTTCTTAAGGACAAGAAATTGGCATATTCAAAGTTATTTTTCAGCCATAGATGCACAAGTCTGTTCAAGAATCATTTGCAAATGAATCTCAAAGGCCAACATGTATGAATATTAGTGACTAGTTTATGAATCCAATAAACAGAAATGTACATTCATACATAAATTAGAAAAACAAAGGTAGAATTGGAAACCAACAAGAAGAAACTGTTTTTTGGGCATTTCATAATAATGCTGCCAAGATGAAATCATTGGAGAGCTAATATTTTCCTAGACCATAATGGAAACCAAAGGCATGCTTTAGATCATAGTGCAACAACATAGAAAACAGATACATGAATATAACAAGCAGTATCATTTTAAAAGTTTGCTTAATGTCTCCATCTCTTTAATTTTATGTGGTGGGCATTTGTTAGTTTTAAGATGCCACAAAATTTTGTTGTGTATATTGGCTAACAGTTCTAAAATAACAAAAGTGCCTTATATTTAATTTGAAAAACTATTTCTCAGATCAACATGGGGCTTGCACAAGAATGCTGTTACACTTACCATTTTCCATATGCTAATGCAGATTTGGGTCTGTTTTGCACGACCTACGCATTTTAGCACTCATAAAAATTGTTACTACAATTTTCTTTGAAATAGTCATAATAAATGGCAATACTTTTCTCAAATTTAAATAGGGAAGAAAAGGAGATGTTGCCACCAACTACTAAACATTGCAATTTACAGATCTATTTCCCAGATTTTAGGAAGTACCACCAATTGAAACCTGAACATGCAAGCTTTATCATGAAAATAAAGTAGTAGTCTTTCTGTGAGTTCAATATAATAGTAGACTGTTAACAGAGGGTTTTGAAATTTAATTCTGCTGTTAGTGTTATCTGTTAACTATGCTCTTTTCTATGTAGTACATAGATGTAGGCCAAGTTGGTCAGGTAAACAGTGTTGTAGAAATTTATAAATTGTGTGCCTACTTTGCAAAGGGAGTGAGCATTATTATATTTGAAATATATTTATCAGTATTCCCAGAGGGGGAAATTTTATTGTTTTGTTCACATTTTTTTATGTTTATATAGTCTTATCTAGTTTTCTTTTCCTCTTGTATTTCTTTTCCTTTCTCCCCTTTTTTGGAGTTTGTGTTTTAAAGCTTTGAATAAAAATTAAAAAAAAATGGGGGGGGGGAGAAAATAAAGAAATGTCAATAATTTATTTTGGCATAAGATGATATTCTAAGTTGACATGCAGTGGGACATCTGTGCATATAGGATGTCATCACTTTCCTTCTTGTGAATGAAACAACCTGGAGAATATGATCCTGCTTCGATTCAGCAATCTATGCCATTTTAATTCCTGAAATGTGTATTTGAACAAGAGAAGCCTCATTGTTCATCGTCACTATGTATTCCTGTAACAATTATAGCTGCCATAAAATCGTTGCAACATTTGATCTCCACGTATCTAATAATATATTAATGCTTAATTTTTAATGTTTAACTTATTCAAGATACATATTCTCCTTTTTAACAGCATTGCCATCCAGTCTCCTGGAACTTCATCTAGATGACAACAAGATCTCTGCAATTGAACTTGAAGATTTCATTCGATATAAAAATCTTCAGAGGTAGAACTTAAGCTTTGAATGAGTTGCCACTAGTATGCTGATAACATTTAGTGCTACTGATTCTGTCTGTAGACGTGGTAAAGAGAAAGCAGTCAATTTATCTGACTGTTTCTTAGCCTCAGTAATATTATTCAAGGGAACTAACTGAAATGAAATCCTGATAGACAGAGGTGCTTTTGCTGTATGGAAAACCAGAGCCTGTGCCCAAAGGACAGCTTATTCTAGGATGGAGTTGCACCAGGGGTGGGTCCTGGCTGCAGCTACTACTAGTTCGCTCAGGGACGCGCCGTGCACGCTTGAGGCGTGCTCTGCGCACATGCGCAGTGCAACAAAATTGCTCTATACATGCGTATAAGGCAGAAACAAGATGGCAGCGAATCATTTTGGGGTGCATGGCAGGCCTGGGTCGCTGCTGGTTCCAGCGACCCAGGCCGCCAAGTTACTACCGGTTCGGCCAAACCGGTCTGAACCAGTAGGAACCCACCTCTGTGTTGCACCACCTATTAACGGGCACTTGCCCAACTATTCCTAATACGAACTGCGACTCTTCTTATGTTCTGGTTTGATCATGATAAACAATTGCAATATTCAATATGACCTAACCTTGAAGAGTTTTCTGAAATTTCAACTGGTACAAATGTATGGCACCTAAAAATGGTAGCTAACCAGTCCGTAAAATTGGAATCCGGAATATTATTTCCATGTGGAAAGATTTGCATTTGTTGCCATTTGTTTTGAAACACAGCCCAGTGTTCGTTTATTTTTTTAGGTTTTTTAATTTTTAAGAAAATGTTGGATATACATTTGTCTGAAGTGATGTAGGGTTTCCTGCCTAAGCAGGAGGTTAGACTAGAAGACCTCCAAGGTCCCTTCCAACTCTGTTATTCTATATTCTATTTGATCATAACTGATTTAGGACTTACCTATATTAACATTACCATGTTTAACATTACCATGTTTAACCATATCAGCAAGAAGACAGTTTTAGCTTCCCAATGGGGATATAAGAGAAAGCTTTTTCCTGCTTTGCTCCATACCAGGGGAATATATTTAGCCTCCAGGAAAGAATTTAAGAGTGCCTTATATAGAAAAACAAGGAAACTAAATGATAAAAATTAAAAATTGTTGATACTATAATAATTCAAAATTTGATGCAATATTTTGTAACAATAATTCCTTAACATTATATTAACTTATTAAGAACACTTCCAATAACTTTTATTCCTTTGAGGTCTCCTGTTTTGCTTTGATTCATATAAATACATTTCTACATTATACTATATTATTGTAGTCAATTTCTTTTTTTCTTTGAACCTAAGAGGGGTCAGGAAGATCTTTTTTTCCTGAAGCAGGTTAGATCTTGTGACCTCTGTTTCTAAATAGATATACTGAGGAATTTTGGCTATGCCTATAAATAATAGATGGAGAGAATGAAGTAAAAAAACAGAATGCCCTTCAAGACTTCAAGCACCTGGAAAAAAATATGGCTCCATTATGGATATATTAAGTTGAATTAAATTGTGTTAAAAGAGGTAAGATAACTTTAAAGGAATGTAACAGATACTAGAAGAATGTTAAAGAAGAAATGCAAGTTATATTTAACGATATTCTGACAGCCCAATAGAATATTGAAAAGCAGTTCTTGAGAAAATAGTTTTGACAATGAAGTCCTGAAATACACTGTTTTAAGTAGTTTATACAGTTTTCAAGTTTTATTATAAAATATATTGTCTGAGCTATTTCAAATTTTAATTTACCACTAGGTTGGGGTTGGGAAACAACAAAATCAAAGATGTGGAAAATGGAAGTTTTGCTAATATACCAAATGTTAGAGAAATCCATCTAGAAAAGAATAAACTGAAAAAAGTACCAGCTGGTCTTTCAGAACTAAAATATCTACAGGTAATATTTAATAAGCTTTTTTTCTTGCTCTTACAGAGACAGTTGTCAAGTTTGTAACAGTAACTATGGCTAGCACAAGGTAGCACAATTGAAGCAGAATTGTTTCAATTCTGTACTTAAATACTTCTAAATTTTGTATTTGTATTGTATTGATCAGGGGCAGTGGTGGGATTCAATTTTTTTTACTACTGGTTCTGTGGGCGTGGCATGGCTTGGTGGGCGTGGCAGGGGAAGAATACTGTAAAATCTCCATTCCCTCCCCTCTCCAGGGGAAGGTTACTGCAAAATCCCCACTCCCTCCCAATCAGCTGGGACTCGGGAGGCAGAGACTAGGTGGGTGAGGGGCCAGTCAGAGGTGGTATTTACCGGTTCTCCAAACTACTTAAAATTTCCGCTACTGGTTCTCCAGATCTGGCCAAAACCTGCTGAATACCACCTCTGATTTGGGGCCATTAACCTGCTAATCCCATCTAGCAAATACTAAACTTGTGGTAGTAAGCTTAAACATATTGTATGGTGATTACTGAAATTTCTTTTTATCTTCTCATAGGTTGTCTTTCTTCACTCAAATAGTATTTCAAGCGTGGGAGTGAATGATTTTTGTCCAAGAGAAGGAAGGCTGAAGAAAACACTATATAATGGCATAAGCTTATTCAAGAATCCTGTCAAATACTGGGATATCCAACCAGCAACTTTTCGTTGTGTACTAAATAGAAACAGTGTGCAGATTGCAAATTATGGAAAATAAAATAGTACAAGCAAAGAATTATTGGAGTACTATTATTAAAACCAGTATCACAAAACTTGAAACTGTTAAAACCTGTAAATTACACTCCCCAATTTCTTTACAAAACTTATACAAGATTTAATAAATTAAAACATTTCTCTATGTTTTTAATTTGTGTAATTTAGGAATCGTACTAGAATAAATGATTTCTTAGCACAAAATTGGATTGTTTTGTTCACTGAGATCCACACTAAGTTGCCTTTTCTTACAGAAAAAAATAGTAAGTTTTAATACAATTTTAGGGTATTAAATAATTAGTTATGTCCTGGAAAGATCTCCTGTATAAGTATTTATCATAGCTCAAGAAGAAAAATTTGAACATTTAACAAAAGTAAACTAAACTGGCTTTAAAAAGCTCTATAGGGCACTTTATTATTAATTTGATAATCTAATTCATTATGACACTAGATAATATTTAAATATTTATGCTAAAATTGAAAGACAACTTAATATCAAGCCCTTTAGCCTCAAAGGCTTTAATATTTATTCATGTGGATGTCGTGGGAGTATACACTACTTTTATAACAAAAACATATATATCTTGAATATTAACCATGTAGAAATGTTTTTAAAAGAGAAATGAGTATATTCTCTGCACAGGGAGCACAAATACACAATCTTGTATTTCCTGTAGGGGGTTAGTTCAGGTAGGATAGAATTTTAAGATCTAGGATTAGAAAAGTATTTTATTTTTTGGTAAAATATTTTAGGCATGTGGGGATCTTGATCATGTGTAGCTCATAAACAGGATTGAGACAGAAACAGAAAGACAAGTTACTGTATGCAGAGTCAATGACAGTCACAGACTGTTATACCTGAACTGAAAACTGAGTTAAAATAATTTAATTTATTTTCCCACAAGCAGTTATAGATATTCTGGCTAACCTTCTCTTTACATGTGAGATAAACAGAGAAATAGCTTTAAAGACAGAAAACAGTAACACAAATTAATACAAAATAAAGAAAACAAAGGAAGAAAAAGAAAGAAAAAAGCTCTTCACATGTGTTTTCACTTGATGTAGACTTGGTGACTAATTTAAGACCACTTTTCAACTTCTTGTCTTTTATGTATTATTAAAAGCAGGATCCAATTCTTTTATATTACTGCTTTAGTACTGTAACTTTGCTTTAATCCAACCTGCATGTACTGTATACAAAATATTTTGTTATGGATGGTTAACTGATGATGGTACTGTATGAAAATAGCTGTCTACTTCTATATTTAGTGTATATGTATTGGTCTTTAAGTTAAGAAAACAGAAAAATGTTCAGTTGTTTTATTAAACATATGAATTGAAATCTCATACTACTGTGATACTACTGCTTCTGTTTTAGTTTATTTTCACAGTATAAATATACACTTAAACTTTAATCTTAGTATTTTGATAACAGAAACCTATTGGCAATGGATTTTCTATTTTACTTGTGACTCTGGTAACATTAAAGCTTATGTTCTGGAGGTCTGGGATCAATGAACATAAAAAAGATGATATTGGAAATTTCAGAAGAAAAAAAATGTGAAAAGTAGACCTCTGTTCTTTAAAGAAAACTATTAACTTTCTGTTTCTTTAAAATAATCTTTATTGAATTCAAAGAAGTTGGCTAGATCTACATTCCGTGTGTGTGTGTGTGTGTGTGTGTGTGTGTGTGTGTGTGTGTGTGTATGTGCCTGTATGCAATGAATCAGTGAACACATAAAAGCAAACAAAGTAATAACCAAAGCCAACCTGGGTTTGTCAAAAATAGATCATGTTAGACAAATCCTATTGCATTTTTGACATAGTGACAAAATTAGTGGACCAGAGGAATGCTGTCTATATAATTTACTTGGACTTCATTAAGGCATTTGATAAAGTAGACCATAACCTACTACCTGATAAGACAGAAAAATGTGGGTTAGACAGCATCACCACCAAATGGATTCGTAACTAGCAGACCAACTGCACTCAACATGTAGTCCTCAATGGAACTGCATATACATGGAGGGAAGTATGCAGCAGGGTACCTCAAGGCTCTGTTTTAGTCCCAGTACTCTTCAACATCAATGATTTGGATGAGGGGATAGATGGGGGATTTCATCAAATTTGCAGATGACACCAAGCTGGCAGGAATAGCCAACACTAGATAGGCTTAAGATATAGAAGGATCTTGACAGACTTGAACATTGGGCGTTATCTAACAAAATGAAATCCAATGGTGAAAAAAGTAAGCTTCTACACTTAGGCAAGAAAAACAAAATTCATAGGTACAGTATATGTGTTACCTCGCTCAATAGTAGTAACTGTGAGAAAGATCTTGGAGTCCTAGTGAACAATCATTTAATTATGAACCAGCAGTGTGCTACAGCTGCCAAAAAAGCTAACACAGTTCTAGGCTGTATAAACAGAGGGATAGAATCAAGATCACATGAAGTGTTAATACTACTTTATAACGCCTTGGTAAGGCCACACTTGGAATACTGCATCCAGTTTTGGTTGCCACAATATAAAAAAGACTCTAGGAAGAGTGCAGAGAAGAGCAACAAAGATGATTAGGGGAGTGGAGGTTAAACATAAATAATGGTTAATGGAATTGAGTATGTCTAGTTTGATGAAAAGAAGGATTAGGGGAGACATGATAGCAGTGTTCCAATATCTTAGGGGTTGCCACAAAGCGGGAGACAAGCTATTCTCCAAAGAACCCAAGGGCAGGACAAGAAGCAATGGTGGAAACTAATCAAGGAGGGAAGTAACCTAGAACTAAGGAGAAAATTCCTGAGAGTTAGAACAATTAATCAGTGGATCCACTTACTTCCAGAAGTTGTGGGTGCTCTAAGACTGGAAATTTTTAAGAAAAGATTGGATAACCATTTGTCTGAAATGGGATAGAGTTTCCTGCCTAAGCAGGGGATTGGACTAGAAGACTAGAAAATTCAAGAGTTTGCACTTGATACCAAAGAAGTGATGGTAATGTATACTTTTATTTTCTTGAGGTCAATAATAAATAAATATGAGCAGTGTTTGGAAGAACAAAGAGGAGGGTGATGTGAGGGAGGAAGACTATGATAAACTTCCATTCAATCATAAAGAATGTGGACATTTCAGTGAAAACAAAGATCAAATATTTTTTTTAAAAAAACCTGTTGATATATAGAAAAAAGTAAATAAGTAGGAGTTACAGACTTAGATATGGTTACCATGGGCTGTTGTTGTTCAGTGACTCCATGGACCATAGAATGTCAAGCCCCTCCATCCCGCATTGTCACCTGCAGTTTGCCCAAATTTATGAACTGTAAAAAATAACAATCAGCTTATTCTGTATCATAAAATTTGACCAAACTCATGATGCTCACACAATTTGGACATGTAACGTTAGGGGATAATGGTTAGGAAAAATATTTTGCTATATAATTTCTTTTGTCTATTGACCTGATCTTTTCCACTCCTTCTATTTCCAGTTTCAGAGTTCCCATTCTTTTGACAACAGGCATTCTGTTTGTCATTAAAACATCTGTCACATTACTTTTCAGAATGCTACAAACATCTCTAGCTCTATGTGTTTGCCTATTCATCGTTTTGGTATAAATACAGAATTCATACCTTATGTCCGGGATGGCAAACCTATGGCACGAGTGTCACAAGTGGCATGCGTAGCCATTTATTACGGCACGCGAGGCATTGTCCTGTCAGTTCCAGCGCGCATGTGCATGCTGGCCAGCTGTCTTTGGCTTTCTTTTGAGGCCGTTTTTCACTCTCCGGAAGCTTCCCTGAAGTGATTCTGGTTTGACTAGACGGCTGTTTTTTGCATTCTGGGAAGCCTCCGGAATGCTAAAAACAAGCCCTACGGGCAAACTGGAAATTCAGGAACGGACTTCCGGTTTGCTTGAAGGCCATTTTTTGACCTCCGGAGACTTCCCTAAAGGCTCTGGAGGTCAAAAAATGGCCCTACGAACAAACAGGAAGCGACTTCCAGTTTGTCCGTAATGCCGTTTTTCGCCCATCAGAGCCTCCAGGGAAGCCTCCTGAAGACAAAAAACGGCCCTACAAGCAAACTGGAAACGGCTTCCAGTTTGGCCATAATGGTGTTTTTCACCCATCAGAGAAGCCTCCTGAAAGCTCCGGAGAACAAAAAACGGCCCTACGAGCCAATTGGAAGTCCGTTCCTGAGCTTCCGGTTTGCCTGTCAGGCCAGTTTTTCAACTCCGGAGGCTTCAGGGAAGCTCCAGCGGGGATAGAAAGTTTCTGGAGCCTTGGGAGGGTAGAAAAGGTGCACCAAAAGCGGGGTGAGAGCGCTGGTCGCACACACATGCGTGCAGAGGGGGGACGCATATGCATGTGTGGCACACCTGCACACCCTGCGCTCCCCCCGCTTTTGGCATGCGAGCCAATAAAGATTCATCATCACTGCCATATGTCACCCATCCTGTTGGCATATGCAGTAAAAGAAACTCTTGGGACATAATATTACCAAGAGTATAACTTTATTGAGAGATCCATATAGGCACAGTAGAAGCAAAGCCAGTTCTGAGGTTTTCACGCAAAAAAAACAAAAAACACCCCACTGTATAGTAAAATCCTCCCTTTTCCCTCCTGGGCCACCCACTGTCCACTGTTCCCCAATTTCTTGTTTTGGGAAACAGTCTACTTGGATGAGAAGGCTCTCAAATCACAGATGGCGCGCAAAGCTCTTTCAATTTTGAATTGTCGAGATTCTCCCAGGTCACAAACGGTACACATGAATTTCTCAATTACCTCCCATGCATTCCAATCATACCCCTACCCCTCCCTGCTATATGGCTGCGAGCATAATTGCACAATACACCCTAATCATTTCCTACGTAGACTGTAGCTAGACTATTCACATTTTCTTATTCTATTCCTAATTAATCTAATCTAAGCTGGAAAGGGGCATTTTTGGACATTGTGTCTAAACTCCTGCTGAGTGCAGGAATCCAAATTAAAACATTCCAGACAGAAGGCTAACTCTGTGTAAACATATCAGATGAAAGTGAGCCGAACACCTGTGTAACTGGTTCCATGGTTCAATAATTCTCCTTAAATTCTTAAACTAATTTGTTTATTTGTTAACTGGTTTTTCTTGTTATATAATTTATTATTTTATTATTGCATTATAACCCTTTAAGCTTATGTTCCTACTTTATTCTTGTATGTATTAAATGTATATATATATATATACACATATGTGTGTGTGTGTGTGTGTGTGTGTGTGTGCGTGTGTAGTTTTTCATGGGTGTAGGTATGCTGGTCTTCTTGTATTCAGGT